TTACTTACTACTAAACTAAAGTTTAAAGTAAATAGTATAGTAGGTAGAGTTAGTAAGTAAGTAAGTTAACTTACCTAACTACTACTACAACTAACTAACGACTAGTACAGTACGCTCTCTCTCTCTCTCTCTCTCTCTCTCTCTCTCTCTCTCACACACACACACACACACACACACACATATCAATTGCAGGTAACATATTCCTTCTCAAAAGAAATTTTAAGAAAATATGTTAATAATTAAAACTCTGGATGAGTCAAACATTTAAAATGCAACTGGAATTCCAACAGAATAATAGCAAGAAATACCGACTGTAAATTACTTGTATTCCAGCTACTAAACTATATCAGAAAGTAGACTTACCTGGTTTAGCAACAATCTTCTCATTTTCTTTTAACATAATCTGGGAGGAGAAATTTACACATCATTGATGGAGTGTTCAAGCAACTCGCTTGCACAAAGAGCATGAAAAAAAATAATATGATTGTTCAGCATAAGTACCTGAACAATCTGGGCCTCTCCACCCAATATTTGAAAAGGTGTAATAGCTGATTGTGGGCTCTGCAATATAAACAATCACTGGGTGACTGTGTCTCAAAGAATGTACACCAAGCCAAAATAAATACTTTCCAAGTTTTCTAAATAAAGTTCATGAGAAAATTTTAAATCCCAAGGACAGTCTTTCTTCAACATTAATTACACTTGTGCCAGAAGATGAGTACTACAACACCTGAAAGAACCCAGATCCAAAGCTTTTGTGTACAAATAACTACAACAATAACACATCAAACTACAAATTAGTTTGTACAACTAGGTCATGTGCCAGATGATACTTGCATAAGAACTGATAGAAGACCAAGTGGAGGTAAATCTGTGAAGGAAGACCAGAAGACACTTTTGGCCTTTGAGTCTATCGTTCTATACACTACAATCTATGGGGAAGTGTTAGAGGAGAAAATGAAAAGCCAGGGTAGGAAGAGCAGTAGCAACTAAATCTGAAAATATACAAATCCCGCACTTGGAATTCTGATACAATTATGAAAGTCGGTAACTCGCAGGTTTCTCATCTGAGGATTGGAAGAAGAAATGTGGGATTCATTCGAGAAATTGGAGAACAGATGACTCACTTAATGGTCCACACAGGAAAAACATAGGAGGCTAAAGGTTAGGGAGGAATAAGAACAGGTTACATCAGAGAGCAACAAGGAGCAGGCAAAGCAAAAGAGATATTTATAGTAGAAAACTAAAACACGATAATGCTATGAAGATATTATCCTGGACAGCAAGAGGTTCTGCCGGAAGACCAAAGAAATTTGACCAGAATTCTATCTAAAGATACAAAGCAACCTGGTCCTCTCGAGAATTGAAAGTTGGAAGTGGTGGACATGGGGATCATTAGAGCTGTATTGGTGGTCCTCATCCAAAGGATCAGCTGCGAGTCAAAATGTCAAAACGAACCATCACAATCTGAGACGGCAGTTAATTTGCAGTCCTGATATTTGGGTATGTAGTTTCTTGATACTTGTGGTTCTTGAGTCTAAAAGGACAGGTCCCAATGATAGACGACAGTGGCGCCAGTAGCATAGCAGTTGTAAAGGTCGCTACAGCCTACGGGCAGGGCCAGCCTGGCCTTGCCCGGCCCTTGTTCCCCCATAGGGCAGGGGTGGGCCAAAAACAAATGAAGAAAAATAAAAGAAAAAACAAGAAGAAAGAGGTTCGGGCTGGCACTGGCCCTTGGGCCACAATTTCTGGCCCAGGCCCTATTTATTTGGGACTGGGCTGACCAGGCCGGGCCGGGCTGTCCAGCCCATTGCCAGCCCTAATCAAGGGATCTAAAAATCATATGTTTCTCTCATCAAAAGTAAGGCGGAATTAAATAATGACAAGTAAGGGGAATTTATGAATGCTGTTAGTCAGTATATGTTGATTTGGTCCCGTCAGTGGGGCATGCTTCGGATAGTCTAGATCAATCTCGTAATGACTCAGCTACATCAATTATTAATCTCAAAGAAGTTATCCCAAGCTTAAGAGCAAACCAACTACCCGTTTGTGAGAGCCAACAGATTATTTCCTTCTTCCTTAACATCGCAGCAATAGAACACATTTGTTATCTCATTTGTAAACATTATGACCTCCTTCGTCTGAGTTCATTATTTTACAAAATACCATAACCTTTCATGGAAACAGGGAAAAATAACACCATAAGATAATACCATTGCAGAATTCCCTCTTCATTGAACCAGAAACTAATTCAGGTGATCTTGTGTGCTGTATTTTCTTTGTTCCCAATGCGAAAGTTTGCATGTTGTAGGGTTTCTTTTAAGAATAAACGAAATAAGCTACGTTGGGTCAAAGGTTTAAACATAAAAAACATAGCTAAATATCAAAAATAAAAAATATCACAAACATACTCACAAAGACCAGTTTGAAGGGCAAAAATTCCTGAATAATCCAGCATAACAAAGAGAATAAAAAAATACATATACGCTAAAATCAGAGATATGAGAGTTGAACTACATTACAATGGTTCCAGGTTTGTGGGAAAAGTAGACCCTAATATCGTGTGGTAATTCACTATACATGAGGTAGCCTTAAAAATCGTAGATTACTAGTATCATGTATATTAAATACAGTATAAATGTTTGCTATAATTTAGAGAAACCAAAGGAAAAAGTTCCAGTAAAAACAATTCCTAGAAAACATAAAACCTGATCCAAGCATGACAAATTGCATGATAAAAAATAAGCAAATATTCTTCAGGGAAAAATAATCCAGCAAATGGAAATTAAAGGCACTTTTTTCTCAGAAAACAAGAGAAACTCAGTGAATTAACAGGCCCTATGATAAAAAAATTCTACATATTTAAGGATAAATTAATACCAAAATTAGAAAAACCTTGCCACCATCTGAAAAATACAATCAAGATGGAAAAATACACCAAATAATACAAAATTAATAAACGAAATAAACAGGAAAAATGTGATTTTTACTAAGATTCCATTACTGGATCGCTAGTGCTTCACCTTAGATCTACTTCCGTGTGTACATTAGAAAACCCTAATTCCAACAAATAAATGGAAAACCAAACACAAAATTCAAATATTGAAGAAAATACCTGGTAAACATAGGGCTGCAAAGGGGTCGAAAAGAAAGGGGCGGCCATGACTGTAAAAATATGGATACGTAAACCATCACATACTAAAATTCAGATTCAAGACGCCATTAGAGGTTAGAAAAAAAGTTTGGGAAACAATTTGGTGGCACCAAAAACTGGCTTTGGAATTCACAGGGTTTTTGCCCCATTGAAGTTACGGAGAGATCTCTATATTTGTCTTTCTTTAATAAATTACTCGAAAAAGCCCAAACACTTTTAAAATGGCGGGAGGGACCTTTGCTTATCGAAGGGCTACTTATGAACTCACCTTCTCTCTTTATGAGATTACGCCCAAACTTTTCAATAATAGCTAAATCATCCTACGCTCCCGAATGACTGTTTTAGCCTTTTTTAGGACTATGAATTTCTTTTTTGTCTACCTTTTTATTTTGGGTGTAAGGCGCATTCCAAATTTTTATTATAAATATAATATTGGTATAAAAATTCTTAGGATGCCTAGAGAGTCTATTTTTATTTTTAATTATAAAATTTTAAGCTATAAAAATGGTTCAAATCAAGTAGATCTACAAACACATGAAAATCTTGAAAATGGACGGTCCAGATAACGTGTTACAAAATGCATTGTTTTTTTAACTTGAAATATATATATTTTCATATTCATACATCTCGATATTGAGATGATCAATTAGAGGGTTTTTCAACATCAAAACAATTTTTTATGACATATTTTTTTATGTGCTACTAATTTTTCATTTTAAGGTTGCAACCCTATATATAAAAAGTTTTTCCTTCTTTTTTTTTCTCTTTTTTTTTGAATCTCAATATTTATTGGCTACCTTTCTTCAAAACCAAAATATTATATGCTCCGCATGAGTATATCTTATGTTCATTTTTTCAAGTAAAACCTTACTGAGGAGTATTTTTGGAGACCAATTTAAAAAATAATAATAATAACTACATGTGATTTGCATCAACATTAAAATAATAATGTATTTCGATTGAATAGTGACTGCCTAATTTTTCAAATATTATGTCTAACTAGTTAAGAACTTGCATTTTTTTCTTATTTATGTTTTTGGGTAAGGCATATCTCTAAATTTTGCATACAAGACGTAATTCTGATGTAAAAAACGTTACGATGGTATGAAAATCTATTTTTTATCCCTTGTTGTGAAATTAAAAATTTTTAAAATGGTACGGTTTGAGTAAATTTATAAATACTTACCAATCTTGAAAATAGACAGTCCAGCTAACTTATTACAATATACACTATTTTTTAGGACTTTAAATTTGTTTTTCTTTATATTTATACATATTGATGTTAACATTTCTTTATATTCATCGATATTAAAGTCAACATGATCAATGGAAAGGGTTTTGGAGTGAAAGCACTTTTGTAGAAGTTAATCGTGTGAGATTTACACTTTATATAAATTTTTTATTTATTTATTGGTAAGTATAACTAAAGTTGAAGCTCGAGGGGACAGTTGAGAAACAACTAGATATTATATGCCCCCACAATAATAAAATATACGTTTTCCTCCTTTGGCCAAAACAATAGCTCGGAGGATTGTTGGCACCCAATATTTTGGGATACAATTCAATCAACTTATTGAACAAATTGGTCTATGTCTTAAACAACCATTATCCGGAAATGGCCTCTACCTCTCAAAGTGCAAGGCTTTTTATGGATGGCAATTCAAAATAAGGTGTTAACGATAGATAATTTCAAAAGAGGGGAAATTTTGCCTAATATTTGTTTCATGTGTAAAGAGGATGGAGAATTTGGTGGTCATCTCTTTCTTCATTATCCTTTTGCTCTTCGCATTTAGAATTGGTTATTTGTCCGGCTTGGGATTGCATTTGTAATGCCACCTTCAATTGTTGGGATTTTACAAAATTTGACGGTTGATTTACCACGAACTAAGTTTGTTATTTGGCAAATTACTAGAGGCTTAATTCTATGAGAAATATGGAAATAGAGAAAAATAAGAGTTTTTTATAGGCAATATATGCCTTTTGAGAAAATCTTTGAGAAGGTATTGCATTCAATCTAGCTATCTCTTTTCATTACCAAAGTTGGTCAGGATAGTTTGGAAGTGGATGTTAGAATAAATTTAAATAATCTGTTCCATATGGATTTCCTAAAATGTAGACCTAAAGGAAGATGGGTGGCTCCACCCCGTGGGGTCAATAAGCTTTATTTTGACCGCAATTCGATAGGGACCCCGGGTCCAGCTGATTTTAGAGGTGTGCTTAGGGATTGGATGGGGAATGTTGTCTTTACCTATGCAGGTCCACTTGGGGTTCGTACAACTAATTTTGCATAATTGTTTTTCTATGGCCTGCGCATCCTTGTATAAAGGAGTTTGGGGTGTTTCTGCATCCTTGAAGGGGACCCCTTAATGTCATTAAGTGGTATAAATTGGGAGTTCAAATCGCTGTTGTTTTAGATTTGGGACCTCTCATCTTCCTTTTTTTTTATCCTTTGTTCATATTTATAGGGAGGCCAATGTGTTGGCTGACTCTCTTGCTAAAAGAAGTTATTCCCTTTATGAGATTGTTGTTTCAGTAATTTTGTTCAAATTTTTGGAATTTCTATAAAAAAAAAAAATTATTGACCAAATTATGTTTTTTGGGAATATAACCCAATTTTTGGGGGGATATACTATAAATTTAATTGTTCTTTTAAGAAGTTGGGCGTTTGTGATTTTGAAGTGGTCCCAAATTAGAAGTTCCTTATAACAAGTGATGCACTCATTAAATATCAATAAAAAAATGTCATTCTAACGTTGAAAAACTATCCAATTCATCATCTCAATCTCAACCTAAGGAGATAAAAGAAATAAAAAAAGTTGAACCTAAAGAGATAAAAGAAATAAAAAAAGTTGAACCTAAAGAGATAAAAGAAATAAAAAAAGTTGATTTCAAGTCTTAAAAATAATTCATTTTATAATATATTATCTGGATAGTCCATTTTAAAGTGTTAATAAAATTATTTGACCAACACTATTTTTAAGCTTTAAATTTAATAAGTAAGGATGAAAACGGATATTTAAGTTGTCATTAGAGCTTCCAACTTAAAATATGCATCTTATGAAAGAATTTATACACGTCTTACTTTAATTGTTCAAGGTAGACATGTTATATAAAGCGCCCCCTTTCTCAAAGTGTGCGCTTTGTGTTTGATATTTATTTGTTTGTTTATTTTGGTTTAGGAAAAACATTATTTATATTAGTTTTTGCTTTTGTGACCTTGCGATGGACTTCGACTAAGAAGCGTATTTCATTTTGGGTGATTTTAGTTTTGTATGTATTAGGAAGTCCACAGCCGTCCATCTCTACTTATTATCCATTTATATAAAGTCGCAACATTGAAGAAGTAATGTTGCAGTAATTTACATTATTTATTTTATTTGAATAATATAAAATTGGCATTATTATAAAACACATGTCACTTTATAAAATTATCTTAAAAAACACATCAAATATTTAATTCAAATGGACAATATACAACATCGCAGCCTTATTTGTCGACCATTCATGTACAGTGATTAATAATCTTGACCATCCATGACGGTAATTAGCCATAAATTACGAACATAACATCTATGTTTTTGTATATGACCATTAACATGTAAAAAAAGTAGGATTTTGTGCACGGAAACTTTAAGTAAAAGTTATAATAAAAAATAAAGTTGCACCACAAAAGCATATTTGAAAGTTTGTCTTGTCTTGAAAATCTTTCAAATTGATCATTTCTATCTCGACGATTAAGATCGACAAAAAATAATATTTCTAATATTGGATTTATTTTTATTACTTTTTACAATATTACATAAGAATGAAACTTGAGACGATGGATTACGAAAACCTAACATGTACCATCACCCAATCCTGTTTCTTAAATTTATAATTTTGGATTTCAAGCTAAAAAATTAGTGCATATTGTAGATTCGTGGATCATTTGTTTTCACATCTACTAAACTTGTACTATTTTTAAAACTTCAAATTTCATAATCAGAAAAAGATAAAGTTTCAAGCCTCAAAATTGTCTTAGGTGTAACTTTAAACGAACCTCCGGCCTTTTCCTAACCACACCCCTATGCAAATTTTGGGTATAATAATCCGCCAAATAGGATTACTAATTCGAAACATTAAATCCAGGGTATAATCGTCATATTTAGGTAAAAAGGGTGTTCTTTGATGGCCAGGACAATATGGTAATTTTACTCCCACCGTTTTTGCAGAAACTGATTCGCCTTGGCTTGTCCATTAGGCGGCCAATGCCACGTCGGATTTTTGCTAACGTGGAAGAACTTGATTGGATCGTTGATGACTCCTTGACGTGGTGGATTTCTCTGTAGACGCACTCTCCACGCATTCATACTCTTTTCTTCTATTTTGGGAGCATTTTTTTGAAATGAAATACCCAGATTATCCCTAATTGTACGGGAGAGATCTGATTTTCCTTTTCTAGGGCGTCAATGCCGGCCTCATCCCTCAAAATATTTTGTGGTTTTTGGATTTTAAAATTCAAACTTAAAGTTAATTTCGGATTTTGAAAAATAAAAAAACTGCATTTTTGGATTATGCAGTTATTGGACTTTGGAAATCGAACAATTGTAGTTTTTGAATCCTGCAATTTTCGAATTTTGAAAATCCAAAATTTGTAATTTTTAAATTTTGAAAATTTTGAAAATAATAATTTATGGACCTTCAAAATCTGAAAATTTATTTTTAAACAAATATTGGATTTTCAAAATCCAATCTTGGGAGACTCTAATACAAACTTTTTCAGACATAAGAAAGTTTATGCAATTTCGTTATTTTAAAAAAAAAGTGACAAAATGTTGTAATAACGGATATAAAACAAGTAGAAGCGGTAAATAAACAAAAAAATAAAATCAAAAGTGAATGTTAATGGTAAGTCGTGGGAAGGTCAAAGGCACGAACAGGGGATAAGGG